AGACATAGTGTAAGGACAGAATTAAACACAAAAGGCACATTTAAATTAAAACATTTTGATGCATTTTCCACAAGCATTGTTCATATTCAGGCAGCACTTTGATATTTTGGATTTTCTCAGTTTCAGCTCTGTTCTGCCTTACCTACCCACTTGCCTCTTGGGCTTTGTCATATCTTTGCAGTAATCTGCTCTGCCCTGTCTCATCCACGTAGGCAGTACAGAGCATCACGGGTGGCGGGAACATGGTGTTCTCTGAGCTCAGCTGCCCTGAGCATCACCAGAGAGTTGCCTCACTTCAGGCTTATACTTACATGGAAAATCTTTTCTCTCCATTAATAACAAGCAGTGGGGAAAAAAACTGAAGAAACTATTAAAAGGCATAGGTGTGAGGCCCTCATACACAGGCATTTTAGAAGCTTATGGTCTCTAAGCACTATTAGTAAAATAATTGCAAGATGAGTCAGGAGGAGAGGTCATGGGCAAAAACATCTGCAATATATTCCATAACAAAATGGAAAACAACCAGAATTGGGGTATATATTCCAGTCACACCCTGCTAGGAAAAATGCTCCCTATCTTTTTGAAACTGTTCCACAGACAGAGTTTCTGTTAAACAAAAAAAAAAAGAAACACTACTCTAATTTATTGGGATATTTTGCATATGGTAACATTCATGTGCGGGGTGGAATCCCCTGCACAGACACAGTTGCTATCCGGATAGCAACAGGGGCCTCTGTCGCAACGGTGTTTACAACGTTGTCTTCAGCTGCATCAGATGAGACTCTCTGAACTCTTGTTCTGCTGAATTCTTGTAGTCCAGCTGGTCCTACCTGCCCACTATATGCCATGATCTGTTGGCAGTGATGACTTAAAACTGTGCACAAAGCATCTCTTAATTGCCTTAACTGGCTACAAAAGACTGTTCTGAGTGACCATTTCTGCATCTGCAAGAACAGTTTCCAAAGACCACCTACAAGTCTTACCTCTTTGCAGCTGAATCTGTTCTACAGCAGGAACTGCCACCAGGGCAGCCCACCAGCACGGCCCTGTTCTCTACTCAGGAAGTTTATCAGCACATTTAAGCATATAAGTAGTTCCTACCAGCTGGCCTATGGACAGGAGGGGCTGCTTGGGGGAATCTCCAGGATTGTCCAAAATTCCCATCTGTACAGTTCCCATGAAGAATAAAGCAAATACTTCATTGTGGAGGCAGATGGGGGTTCAGTCACTTGCTCGCAGGTCAGTGCATTGTCTCATCTATGCAGGGTCTAGCTGGGAAGGTCCTGGATCACCCAGGCAATAAATGACTAAGTTGATGGAATATGTATACAGGCATAGCCTGATACCCAGCTATACCACTACTGTGACTACAATTTCCTTCTTAGATCAAAATTGTAACTGAAATTCCATAGATTTCACCACAGCTGTAGTGTCTATTTTTATTTTATTTGAATAAATGTTTGTGCTTCAACACTCTGCAAGCCTCTGTCTTGCTTGGAGAATGGGTGCTTCTTAAGTTTTTCATGGTGTTCTTATGCAGAACATCCTTACCATAGCAGAGGGCCTGTTTTCTTGATCCTGTCTATGTTACAGTATTTCCTGACATCGGTCTCCTCTCTTCTTTGTGACTCTTTTCCTTTCACTTTCTGCTTTTCTCTGTTCAGACCTACCTGTCTTATCTGCCATTTCCCAATCATCTCGTGTGCCAGTTATTCTGTCCTGTTATCTGTAAAAACTGCTCCCCTCAGAAATGTCCCTAAGACTCATTCTTCTTTCTGTTGTGTTCTTCAAGGCTTAGGTGTGCCATTCCTCAATGTCCCTCAACCCTTCTGCCCTCTGGTCCTGCTTGTTCTTCCTTGGAGTGTCTGCTTTCCTCCTGCTTCCTCTGGAGCAGACACTAACACCTGTGGAAGGATCTGACTGTGTTGCTGTACTAGAGTTGCAGACAAGTTTCAACACAGAGCACTGAAAATGTAGAGCATCTTCCTACCCCAAGCAGTCCCCAAGCAATCTGAACAGTCTTCTCCTGCATGGAGCTCTGCAGGAGGGCTGAAGCCACCAGGAAGTGAGGCTACACTGGCCTTCCCCATTTTCCTTCTAGTTTAGGACAAAGGAGATGTGTGTTTACAATTGTGTTACAAGCTAAATTAAAACAGTGACATGTAGATTCAAACCTCCTCCCAGTATATGATTTCTGTATACGGTCTTTTATTATGCACAGTTTTCCTGCTTTCCAGAGAAATGTCAAAAGGAAAAGTTTTCATGGCAATGTATACTCATACCTGTGAGGTTATCCTTACGCTTCTTGCTGATATTAATGGAAGTTGTATGACTAAATCCCTGTACATTATTTGTACCTCTTATTATCTAAACTACCTGTGAATACTTACTTTGGCCTGTGTTTAGCTACTATGCATTTAAATAATTTGGCACTGCGTGACGTTTCAGCACAAGGCACCTTATGTAAATTGAAAATAAGAAGAAAATTCAGAACATAGTTATATTTTTGCATTGGTATTAGCGCGTGTTAGGATATTATGCCAAGCTAAATATAATTATCTGCTCTAATTCTAGGCTAGTACTCAAACATGCAAAAGCTACATGGTAAGCAGTTATAGGACTGAATGTGCACATTGCATCCTGTTCAGATGGCATATTGAATACATAGTACTAATGTGATCAAAGTAGTTGCATTTAAATTTCAAGTGGCACTTCAAAATATATTAGCCCATTCACTAGAAAACACACACAACATTTAGAAAAAAGAAAAAACAACAAAAAGCTGTTTTCTAACCTTCTGCCAAGAGCTTCAAGTGATTGACATTTTCTTACTAGGATTTTTCTCATAATTAAACACTGTGGTAGTTGCACATTGTTTTTCAGATTTAATCAGAATCAAAATAGTTGTGCAAAGGCTAAGCTACTTCTGTAAAATTACTGGTGGCTTAGATGTTTTGTAAACTGTTTTAATATTGAACCCCTAGGTAGTGAAAAGACAGAAGCGGGAGAAAGCTTTAAGTTACCAGGGAACCTTCAGGTGAGCAATGTGGTAACTGTGGGAAAAGGTGGAGCATGAGGGAAAGGGCTTATTAAAAAAAGCCAATGAAAAAAAGACAAATGTTCTGCAAAGGAAGCAAGAACATGGCAAGACCCTGTGCTGGCAGAAGCCTGCTGGATTGCAGGCTGACCAGGAATTTGCAAACCTGGCCTAGATGAAGGAGGCAGACATGGGAGGTGAGACATGGGACAAATGGAGGCAGAGAAGGGAGCTTAGGAAAGCTGGCTCTGCTTCCAGTCTCACGTCTGGGTTAAGGATAGCTCAGATATTTGCCTTTCGGGCAGGGAATGGATAGATAAAAAGTCCTTCTATATGAATTAATTAAGGAAGATTCTTCCTTACATGCATTTGTGTATTTGTTTACTAGTTTGGTTTGTGGGGTTGGGAGTCCCTTTGGTCCCATGGATTCACCTCTAACTTAAGTAGATATCAAATTGCAGAAATCTTTCCTTGTCTTGCTTGTTTTTTTACCTGGTTATTTCTATTTTGGCACCAGGTTAATGACATGATGGAAGTGGCTGTTTCCAGACGAATAATGCTCAGAGGAACATAATAGTTAGAGATGGAGCATTAGATTATTCCTTCCCAATGGCTGGCGATGTAGAGCATTTCTGAAATAATAATGCTCTCAGGCTGGTGTCAATTTTTAGATTAAACTGTTATAAAGTAGAATTTTTCTAAGGGAATGCGTTTGGACCAGTCCTGATTATATCTGGCTTGGTATAAAGCAAATAGCACTAATGTACTTTACTCTGATTGTGTTACAATTTTAACTGCTTTCGCAATATCACCCTTTTATATGTGTGCTGTCACGTGTTTGCTTTCTCAGTATCTCTTCACTCTTCCTTGGCCAAAAGAAGTTTGTATATTTATTGGAGATACTGGAATATGCATCGAACATGAACATGTTGTTTATTTTCTTAGGATTTGAATTTTTTGAAACGAGTGCCAAGGACAACATTAACGTCAAGCAGACATTTGAGCGACTGGTGGATATCATCTGTGACAAAATGTCGGAAAGTCTGGAGACGGATCCCACCATTGCTGCCAGCAAGCAGAACACACAGCTAAAGGACACCCCTCCTCCACAGCAGCCCAACTGTGGCTGTTAATGCAGCTGTCAGCGAAGGCAGCTCCAGTGTGTTCTGTTGCCAACAGAGTATTTATGAATGGTCTATATGCCTTTATTTATACTGTCTTATTAATTTATTTGGGGGAAAAGTCTTTTATTTTACATCAGCAGCTGGTTGAGTATGCGTATGGAGATGGAGAGGTTATTAGTTTGAAAGGATGATCCATTTTTAGCATCAGGCTTTTGCATGCAGGATGGCTATTAGTTTCTCTTTTCTTTTTACTGTTTTACATTACACTTACTTCAGCTGGTGCCATGTCCTCAGACCACATTTGCCTAGAGTCTCACTTCATCAGTTTCAAATTATATAGCTGAGTCCTTAGGGTAGTGGCCAAGGTGTTTTAGAATAAGCTTCCTCATGCCACTTATATTTTCTCCTGACTGAAAATCAATTTAGAAATACTCCTTTAGTGAACCAATCCCTCATTCTGTCCAGATCATTTGTATAAGGAATGCTTCCTGGAGTGTATTGCCTTGGCAAATCTATACTCATTATGTTACACATCATGGAAATTGCAGAAATTAGAAAGACGTTAGTTCCTGGACCCAAAGCCACCAAAATTCCCTGTGATTTTCCAACTGGATGTGGCTATTCAGTGCAGACCCTCAGAGACATTAGGTACTTCAACCTGTTTGGATAGCTAGTATGTTTACATTTCCATGGGAGCTTCGTGTCTATCGAATGCCTTTCTGAAACTGGACTTAATTTTTCATTCCATCATTACAGTACCTACCCCAGTAGTGGAGGGCTGACTAGCTCTTTCCATTTCTACCTGCATGAGATATTAAACACACAGTTCTATATTACCCCTGACAGAGCAAAATCCATTACACTTGGTTGTTCATAGCCAAAAACTGTCTTGTCATGTTGCTGTCAAACCCACATACTTAAGTTTTCAAGAATTTTGTCTCCCATTCAGTCACTGAGACAACCATCACCACACTGGCTACAAACACCCATATTTTACTCCAGCCTATTGCAGAAGTGCTGCTGGTGTCAGTGAACTGCAGTTTGACCTCCTTTTCACTTTGATATCTACTTTGACAACACAATCAGAGTTTCTCAAGATTTTTTAAAACTTTAGGAGTAATAAAAAATCATCAACATTTCTAGTCTTACTCTGAATACATTCCTAAGATCAGCAAAAGGCTGTGAAGATAGCAGACTAACGTACCCAAATTCTTTTTTAATACAGTGTTAAAAATAACCATATTTCACAGTTTTTAAAGGTACTCTTTTAGTAATTGGTGTCAGTTTCTTACATCTGTGCCCTGGAGTACTTTATACAGCTGCTTTACTTGCGTCACAGTGACATTTTTTAACTAAACAGCATAATTGAAGAAGCTTTAACTGTTTTATTGTTCCAGTTAGACAGAATTTAGGACAAGGCTGACATTTCTTAAACTGTCTGCAATGGGAAAAATCAGAAGACAAATTAAAAAAGGAAGTAACACAAGGTACTGCAAAATGCTCACAACTTTAAAGAAGTCCCAATACACACTTCAGTTTTTTTGAAGGGAATTTATGTAACTCCTGAAACACACTGAGAGAAAACGGTCACTTTTTTTTTTACTGATTAAATAACCTACATACACTTTGACACAGTAAAAATGACTTCCAAATAAGGCATATAGACATATGTAAAATGGATATGCTGTCAGGGCACTACATTGGCTGCCTAACTTAAATGAATAAATGTTCTTTCATCAGTCTGGGGTTTTAATCCATGTCTGTCCTGTTAGCTAGTTTACTTAAGCACTTGTTTTCCTAGTAGATGTGGAGACTGGACTTCATTTGTTTACTTCCATGAAGAGAAAGCACTGTCCTCTTTGGGGATGATGAGCAGCCAGATGGAAGAGGCATGTGCTATCCCAACCATAACCCTTCCTCTCTCCAGGGCTGCTACTTTTGTCTCCCCTGTCTGAGGCAGCATGTTGGTAACTGTGCTGAGAGACTTTCCTTAATATCTCTTCACCCACTAGGTACCAGCTGCTTTGGAAAAAGAAGTGATAAGAAGCTGAGGAAGCTTTGTGTGAGATGGTGGGCAGTTTTCCATCCTTTTCTTGTTACATGCCATTATTCCTGCAGGAAAAAAAAGAGCGGGGAAGCCTTGAGACAGCACTCAGCTTCAGGCCTCCAGTCTTTAGAAAAGGCTTAGGTTGTATTATTAGTCTGAGCCATCTCAGGCAAGGCAAGGAGAGAGGAGGACATAGTCACATTTTACACGAGCATGGGCATATCCTGGATCTTGCAGCATGGCTAAAAGTCCAAGTATTCTTCCAGCTTTGCTCTGGGATGCTTGCTGCAAAACGGTCATCTCCTGTGCGGATTGTAACAAGGAAAAAAGACTCCAAGATGCCCCTCGCTACAGCCACACCTAGCTTGTACTCCATTGCAATGAATTCCAGACCCTACCTGCCCCTTTATGACTATGTAGACTCTAATCAATGGTGGCAATACATTATTAGCATATATCTTTTTAAACAAATTGAGTGATAGATAAAAGAGTTCTTTACTTAAATAGGATGAACTAATTGCTTTTTATTTTGCATCAAGAGTCTGGGCAGAAGAACAGCAAAATCAAAGATGGAGAATCTCTCCTTTGCATTTTTGAGACAACTAACCTCCCAGGCCTCCAATATGTCTGACCTTCTGCATGTGATGGGGAGGATGGGGATGGCAGCTGCTATAGCAACACTGTTCATTAGATTGCAGCAGAGCCAGTCAGTATTTAAAAACTCCTAGGATCTTTGTATTGATATTCAGACATTGTCATAGAGTTCAGAACTAGATTAATTTTTAAAGTGCTTACATCAAATTCTTGGAGTTTTTCAAGACCAGACTGGCTAAAGCCCTGGACAGACTGCTCGGATCTCTTAGTTGACACTGTTTCAAGCAGGAGGTTGGGAAGGATGATCTGCTGATGTCCCATCAAACCCAATTTTTCCTATCATACTTTCCTCTGAAATTGAAGATGTGTAGAAATTCAAGTAGGCATTTTCTTAAGAATCAGACCTACCTACTGTTGGAAAAGTAGACTTTGATTTTCCATCACAGGTTGGCTTTTGCAGCCACATGTTTCACAGCAATATTGAGTTTTCTGCCGTAAGCTTTTCTCACATTTAGATCAGAAGCATCATAATCTTGGTACTTCTCTCAGCTGGAACCTGGCTATTGTAGAGAAACACAAAGACAGAAAGGCTTTTGAGAAGTAACTTACTAACCCCTCTCCAAACATTCTAAATTTTTTTTTTTAATTCTGAGGGAACTAGCAGAGATGGGATTTTTATTCTATTTAAAATTATGCCTTGGGCTCTTCATAGAATAGGATATCCAAAAGCAGCCTTTGTCAATCTAGTTTGGCTCCTTCAATCTTGTTCAGCTCCTATTGACTTATGTGATAGAGGTGCAATTTTCTTAAATGCAAGTAGAGTTAGGCTGAACAGTTTTGGAAATCCCATTCCAACCTGATCAAGGGTCAAAATTTAAATAATCAATGGCTCGTTCCTCACACACATCCAAGAGTCACTGATTATGACTCTTGGAGGAGACAAGCAGGATTTGCTCAGATCCCTGATATATCCACTGGTGTAGCACAGTTCTGTCAAGAGAAGGCTAGAAAGGGTTATATATTAGTTATGGAAGGAAGCTGGATCATTAAACTGAAACCTAGGATAAGAGATCCAAAACTGCTTTCAGCCTCATTATGATTCTTGGGGAAAAAGAACTTGCACACTTTGTGCTAATTTGTTGTCAGTGTCAGTACAGAAATAGGACTGAATGTCATGGCGCTTTATTGGTCCAGCCACAGATAAACCCTTCAGCTGAGATAAACCCTTCAGCTGAGATTTAGGCCACTTGGTGAGATACAGCAGGTGACACACAGAGCATGTTAAATTTCTGAGAGATTAGATGCCTGTGGGCAGAGGGTCCTGAGCTTCATAGTGCCAGCTGAACTGATGCTACGCAACCCATTTTCCAAGTTACGATCTAGACTGAAGTTTTACCAGGAGGCTAATCCTGTGTGTGGGTAATGCACCAGCCTTATTGTGCTCTGGCAGTGTCTTGCTTGCTACATGTTCGAACTAGTGCTCAGAAAATGCCTTGGGAGCACACAAGAGCACAGGATGTGACTGGTTCCTGCGGTGTCTCCTGGCACTGACCTGCCGAACAGCCAGCAAGCCCTGCTGGGTTGAACCTTCAGATGCACTTTTTCGATTCTCATAAGAGTTCATGTTCACAAGCGTTCTGGTCCTTATGGCGCAAATAACTTAATACTGTATATTTTTGTTGATGCTGTTGGTTTGTTTATTTAGACGTGTTTGTTTGGTGTTTGAAATACATATGAGCTAGCCTGATTTTCTGTCAAAAAATACTCTTTCTCTCTGAACAGCTCTGTATGTGACTGTTAACTGGAACTGTTTGTTCCTTTGTGCTTATACTTAATGTAATGCCTGGAGAAACTACCTGAGCAACTACATCTATGTGGCCTTTCCAGAGCACCAGTCTGAAAGATTAAGTTTTTCCCAGTCTGCTCAGCTCTGTATATTCAGCTGTACCACCTGCACCTTCTTTATTTTAGGAATGAAGTGCTATTTCAGGGTGCACAAAATCTGCTGGAGTTTGATCCTGATTTTGAGAATGCTTTGAGTTTGTCTTTTTTAGGAAAAAAATAGTGGCACAAATTCTATATGTGATGATGATGCCTTTGTTTTTTTCATTAGCAGATGAATGATGCTGTATTTGCATTCCAAAAGAAGCCCTCTCCCAGATTCTCCACCCCCAACTACTCTTTTCTGTGTTTGTTTGTGAGAGGCAAGGTTTATTACTTGCCTTTTTAAGGGGATCAACTAAATTACTGTTCTGCTGACAGAGTCCTCCTTGGCCTGTTTCAAATAGACAGACACAAACGTATGAGCCTAGTTCTTCTTTAGGATGACAGATTTAGCAATGTGAGACCACGACTATGTAAATACTCA